ACACACACACACACACACACACACACACACACACATCTTGTTTTTTGTAGCTTTCCCTGACCCGGATAATCTCTCCAGTGTATATTACAAGCATATGACATTATATTGTTTCGTATTCTCTCACGAGATGGTCTGTGGGGTGTGGGGGTGCAGGCACAAGGGAAGACAGAGGAGAGGCTCAGGAAATCAGTTTATTACACTCACAGGTCCCAGAGCCAGGAGGTGTGCCGCACAGGGCCACATGGGAAAGACACAGTGTGGCCGGGAGGCGGGAGGCGAGACCTAGGTGGGGGAAGGTTTAGGCCACCACTTTTGTTGGGGTGTCCTGGGGAAAGGCAGGGCAGGGTGAACCATTTGGGACCGGTCAGCGTGCATGATTTCACGACTCAGACTACAGGGGTGGTTCCTAGTTGCCTGGCACCCAGCCCTGGGGTGGTGAAGCGGAGGAATATTGCCCCCGGGGGTGCTGGAGCCACGTGGAGGAGGTCTGGCTCTGGATTGGTTTGTTTCCCTACCACAGGCAGGCTCCTGTAGGGTTCTTTGTGGTCTCTAAGAATCGGCCAGGAGGCACACTGTCTCCCCAGTCAAGAAGGTCTTTTAAGCCGTCAAGCTGTCATAATAAACAGAAAACACACACACACACACACACACACACACATAGGGGTATATATACATATACGTAGACACTGATCATTGATTATTTTAATCATACATCCGGATGAAATGGCCGTTAAGATACAAAGCCATTTTTCAAATTTCCCTTTTTCTTTGAGATATAATTGATGGATAGCATTGGAAGGAACGAAAGGAAGGAAGAAAGAAGTAAAAGAGAGAAGGAAAGAGAAAAAAAGGAAGGAAAAAAGGAAAGAAAGAAAGTGAAAGAAGAAAGCAAATAAAGAAAAGAGAGCAAGCAAGCAAAGAAAGAAAAAGAAATAATTTAGCATTTAATTCAGCATTTACCAGGTTAACATCACGGCTGCTCAGAGATCCTGGTGGGGTAGGAGGGGCTGCTGTGGCCTCCAGGCTGAAGGGCTGGCAAGTTTCTTTTCCATCGTGCTCCCTTGGGCTTACCTAAAACTTTGATCCACCCGGGGAATGGATTTAACCCTTTCTCCTCCCATCTAGAGCAGACAGCAACTACAAACTAACATTTACTGTCTTTTTTTTTTTTAACGTTTTATTTATTTTTAAGAAAGAGAAAGAGGGCACGTGCAGGGGAGGGGTAGAGAGTGAGGGGGACAGAGGATCTGAAGCCGGCTGTGCACTGACTGCAAAGAGCCCG